TTCTATGATATAACCAACTGCTCTCCCCCCCAGCTTTACAATGCTAGACACAGCTGTCTAGCTGACTTATATAAAAACAAGAATTAAGACAGGTAACATTTAATTATAAGACAACTCAAAGTACAGTTTAAATTCCTGATACACAGACATCTTTAGCATAAAACCTATAAACAGTCAACCTATCTACATTAAACCCATTAAAAGTTTAATTGTCACCTTACATAAAAAGAAGTTATTCATCGTGGTGTGCTAGTAAATTAGTATTCACAAAAAATATTCCCGTTGTTTCAATGCAAATGTTTAATTGACCTTCATGACAAGAATAGTGCTCCACATACGTGACACCGTTAGCCTGGAAGCCTTCTGTGGTTGTACAAGAACGAATGCCTCTCACATTTGACTGGTGACTAATGCTACTATGTCCAGCCTTCTCTCCCCCTTGTGACTTAGCCTTTCCCAGCTTTCTGTGCTCATTACCCAGCTGTGTTGTGGAAGAAACAACTGTTTCCAGGAAGACATCATTATCCAATTATAAAAAAGCACAGTTCCCTTCCAAAACATATACCAAAACTGATTATCCATTGTTGGCTTGATTCTTCACAAGACCAGTTGGTATACTTGTTTTGTTTTCTTTCCATTTTTTGCTATCTTTCAACACTGCCATCACAGTCATGGGGAAATGGGAAGGACACCAGAATGAAATTTTGAGTCACCAAGTTTGTGTTCTGCTATCCTTAGTCTTCTCCAAAAGAACATGAGCAAAATTGTACAATAGACTGTCATAAATATTGCATGGTCACTGACAGGGAGCCCTCTTTGGAGTACTGTGTGTACAAAGTAGAGAGAACTACCACTCAGTTTAAACCTTGGGTGCATGAGGCACCATGCCAGATAGAAGAATGGGAAATGGAAAGGAGAGCAGGGGTTTTCTGCTCAACGAAAGTCACAGTCTAGGTCTTTGAAGGAGGGTGTACACAGGGCCAATGAGGCACAGGAAGAAAAAAACTGGAATTTCTCCTCAGGTGGTATAGCTCATTTTCTTCAAATTTGTTTTCTGTCTCTGTTCTATAACATGCATATCTATTAATGTAGAATAATTACGTGTATATAAGTTATCAGAAGCAGTAGTGTTTTTAACTGATAAGTGTACACAATCAAAAAGTTTGGAAACCACTGAGCATGAATGTAAGAAAATACGTCAACTGAAGACCTTTTGGTATTTGAGAAATGTATTATCATCTGCGAATAATCCATTTGCAAGAAAGTTCCAACAAACTATTATTTTGCATTAGCTAATCTTTTCTTTGACCTTTTCTTTATCACTACATGGAGGGCATATGCAACCTGAAAGTACTAAACAATCAGCTGTTGTGCTCACTGCATAGGAATAGGATCACAGTAGTTCATAGTGTAGCTAGAGTATCGATGAAGCAATAGAGGGTCTTCTTTTGCCTCTGCCATGTATGACACAGCCATAAATGACCCTCCCTTGGCACAGAAGTTAATTTATAAATAACTCCTTCGTGATACTCACATCTATCAGTCAATGAAATTTAATGTAGTAAAGAAAATTCCATATGTTCTCTTTGCTTTAATACAATTGGAAAAGTTTATCAGCTGACGCAGAACTAATTTACATGTTATAAACATAAATATAATGTGGGAGGGGATTTATTTGTGCAAAAGCCCAGAATTCCTCAATTAGATACCAATTAAAAGTTTATTGTAGCAGCAATACACTTCCTCATTAGGAATCACTGAAGGTTCCTAAATATGTCCTCTGGTTTCCATGTGGTCTTCTACACTTTGCCAACTTTCAGAAATTCATTCAAATTGCAAAAGAGCTGGTATTCCGCCAGTGCTCCAATGGCATGTTGAAAGAAAGTCAATCAGGAAGCAGACTTCACCAAGTGCTTGCCTGCTCTTCTAAAGCAAGCCTCTTCTAGAAGAAAAGCAAGGGTTTAAAGAGAAACCAGAAGAGAAGTGAGAAGGAGAAAAAGCAGAAGAAGGCAAAAAGAGAAGAAGATAAAGGTGCTGTCGTATTTTCAGTTGCGACAGTAGCACCAATTGACTTAATTGGTATTCATCTGAGAAAAAAAAATCAAGGAAACCAATTGAAAATTATAAAAGAAAATAAAGGTCTGTTTTTGTCTTGAATGTTGAGTTCTCTGTTGTTTTGACTGTTGAGCACAGTGATTCAGATTTATAATGTGACTTTGCCCCTCACCCCCCCTTTGAAAATTAAAGGATTCTTTGTCCAGTCTTAAAGTGTTGGTAGCATCCTGTGGTAGCCTGGCATGTCAATCCCTCATCCTTCCTCATCCCACTGCTGTGTCTTGTGATGTATATGTGTCTGATGTGTAGAGGTTGGGGGGTGCCTTACTTATCTCTACTAGGAGCTACACTATTTCATTATTAGGAAATGTTTCTGTGTTCTGTCTCATTGTGATTTCTTGTTCATATGTGCTGCCCAGAGATAAATCTATATTCAATTATTCTTACAGCTGTCAAAGCAGATTCTTTATAGAATTATGTTGTCCTTTGGTTGAATGCCTTCATTCCCTCTTAATGGCAAGAACAAGAGGGGGGAACTGTCAGTTTTTATTTATTTAATAGCTTTGTTTATCACTTTTATATTAAATCTTTATGTATACTTTTAAAAGTAAAATTACATTGAAACTTCATAAAAAATCATCTGGCCCAGTATTCCACAAACTTTAAGAACTGGGAGAAATAAAACTTGGTAAGAATGTTTTTAAAACAAAGTATATACTCCCTACAGCTTTAGATAGTATGGAAGGTTATTTGTAAAATGAAAATTTACTATGTAAAAACACTCTGCTCCCATAAATCTTACAACTATAATCTGAATCCCTTTTTTCTTCACCTTATTTCAAAAACTGCAAAACTAATGATACATTAGAAAACCTAATACCTAAACTACTATAATTCACATGTAGGCCTCCCATTTATTTGTCACTCTCTGCTCTATGAAATTACATCAAGTTTTAGATGTAGTCTTGCCTTGAGGCTAAAAGAATAACTGCTAAATAATTTTAGAGGTCCTTTCCTGGCCTATGATTTTATGAAATGGAATTATGCTGTTCAAATGTATTCCTGTTTTTACAACTCCATTTAGGAACTCTGAATGACCTTATGATTTTGTGCCTTCCTGGCTCCAAACGATTCTCAATTAAAATTCACTATCCCATTTCATTCTTGCTCTTAACCCACAAAGCAGTGTCTCCTTTTTACAGTTCTCCATTCATCCATTCCTCAAAATCCTCCAGGTGTTGCCAACATTCAAAGATGAACCAACAGAAAAGTTTAAAGCTGTTATTTAAAGGGATTGTTGTATTTTTAGATTATAGTTCTAAAGTAGACACATGATTAGGAAGTTAAAATTCATGAAATTAGTAATAGCATATATTGATGATAACAAGGAACTTTCTAATGGAAGGACTCAATTATCATACCTACCAATAGTTGCTAACCTCAGTATCAGAGCGAAAAATTGAATATGAAACTTAAATGAAGCTGCGTTTTAATACTAAATAAAGGCGATCCCTTTAAGTTAAGGCACTGTGTTTGTGGGCTTTGGGGGTGGTTTTAGGTAAACTCTAAAAAGTTTTTAAGAATGCTGCATTTTAAGGGAGTCTCACAAATCCATGAACACTTGTTAAATGCACAGCTCAAATGATTATTGACAAAATTGGTAGTATCAAATTTTTGTTAAAATCATTAATTCTGGAGTTACAGTGCCTAGTTGGAATTCTAGCTCCCCTAGATACTGTGGCCTTGAACAAGGTGCTCCCCTGCTGTAAAATTAAAATCAAATAGATCTACTCCTAGCTTTGTTGTAAGGGTTAAATGAGATTATGACCATTATTAAGCATTTACCCTATTGTGTGGCACGTATAAATATTTACTATTATTGCCAATTAGAGAGTCTTTTTGAACTATGTCAGAAATCCTAAAATATTCACATGGACTATGATAGAATAAACCACATTCCATATTTACTCCTTGAGCCAATACAATGAGTACTCCTCAAATGGGACTCTGGCTCTCTATTAATGGAGATGATGGAAACATGTTTATAGCCCTAATCCTATCTGAAAGTAAAATCCAAGTCCATTTTTGTTTATTATTGTTGAGAAAGGTATGATACCAATATTCAGGCACTTAAAGAACCAGATGGGAGTTTGACTTCTTCAAAAGATCTAAGGTCCTTTACTGAACCACTCTTTAAGATTTTTTTTTCTCAAAAATATTTCATTGGAGTGTTTTCTTCCCAGGTCTTACAAATGCTAAGTAGCTTCTCTTAGTATATGCCAGATTTCTCCTTAATTTTCATATAAACATATTCCCATATTTGATTAATTAGAACATTATTATTATTGATAATTTATGATCATTTAGTATATTTACAATGTGATGGGCATTATTATAGCACTCATATGAAACCTAAAAGGCACACTATAGGAAGATTTGTATAATCAAATAGATTTCAATGAATGCCATTCCATTTTTTGAAGCCTGAAAAAATGTAAAAAGTCAGTTTATTGCTAAACTAGGAGAGCTCTCACTAATCAGCACTTCTATGCTTACCAATATAATGATAAAGGATATTTATTAGTGTTTTATAATATTATGTGCAGGATTGTTTCTGTGTTGTGTACCTTTGTACTCTAATTCTTTTAACTTAATGGACTCAAAATATTTACAGAGATTTGCTACTAAGAGAATATGTTGTTAATCAAAGCATCTTATTATTTGATTATTCTAAAACGATTGGCTGCCTGCCTGTAGCTAATCTTACCAAGTAAAACTAGCAGCTGTGGGTTTGTTGGCTTTTAAAAATGTAATAGAGTGTCTTTCCAATTGTTTATTATCTTGCTTTTTTAGATGATTTTTAGTAGGTTTTTAGTAGATTTTTAGAGTGTCAAATACACGTTTATTACACTGGATTCATTTATCTCTCTTTTTGGACATTGCAGGTGAAAGTGGGGAAGAAAAGTTAGGAGACTCATTGCAAGATTTATACAGGGCACTGGAGCAAGCCAGTCTGTCACCACTGGGAGAACATCGCATTTCAACCAAAATGGAGTACAAGCTATCATTTATAAAGAGATGCAATGATCCTGTGATGAATGAAAAACTACACAGGCTGAGAATTCTCAAAAGCACTTTAAAGGTAAGATAGGAAATGGAAGGAGATATTTGTGTTCAAGAGATTCATTCCTAAATTCAAAGGCAATTACCAGAAGGAGTACAAAATGGGGTGGGAGGGGGTGGGTTGGGCAGGATATGTAAACAGAAAAAACATAGAGCTGAGTTGTTCCTGTAGCATAATAAGTGAACTGGTAAAGAGGAAATAATTTTAACTTCTCATTAACATCTCAAAGCACTGACTAAATTTTATGTGACTTAGTTCAAGAAGAAAACAGGATGTAATCAATATTTTTTCCAAAAATGCAAGGCTGGTATTATTACTCAATCTTTCATTTTCCTAAGACAAATGTGCCATGTAGTGTAAGTAATATAGTTATTAGAAGAACACAGCATGCATGCAAAATGCAGTAGTGGGTGCTAAAAGGATTTGCGATATTTTAGGACTATTTCCTGAAGTGCGTTTAGAGTGAAGCCACAGTGATTCCTGCTCCATGTAGAAATGTTATAATTGTTCTGTTTACACTATTAGTTCCCAATTCACATGTTACTTTCCTATTATACATTTCTACAAGTGCTCACTCTTTGTGGTCTTGTTGTTATGCCACTCCCAGATTGGTGAGGAGGTGGAGAGGAAAGGGGAGCTGAGGAGCAAGAAATCCAGGGAGGTAGAAAAGTGAGTGCCCTCCCTCCCTGTCTGTGGCTGGCAGGGAGAGGGTCTGCCACAGAAACTCTCCTGCAAGCAGGCCTCACACTCCTGAAAAATCAAAAACAGAAAAGAATTATCCTACTGAGCAAAAGGGCAAAGGGCTCCTTAGGGAAGTATTTCACATTCATAGTATGGTGCTGAGGTTTTGTGATTTTGAAACATAAATGAGTACCAAAAAGATAAAATAGAAAATAGATTATTTGAAAAACATTTTCCTTGGCAGGTGGTCAAGTTTTCAGTCAAAAGGCTGTCAGTTGGTATTCATGCAAATACTATTTCAAATTTATGGGACAACCTAATGGCCTTTTGGTAACTAAGACCAGAATTTTAAAAAGAGCTATAATATTCCTAAGAATAATTCTGGTGACCAAACTTACTCCAAAGATATCTTTACCCTCTCACCTAACAGGCCCCCACCCTGCACCCCCACATTCAGGTGCAAACTCTTGGTTGGGATAGCAGGCAGGCATTTTGAAACAGGTCAGACTCACATATTTTAAAGACCTGCCCCTGTCCCCCTCTTTTTCAGCCCCTTGCCCCTATCTTTTATGTTCTGTGGCTTCCAAAAAAAGTTTCCTTCCAGTAGCAAAGAGTATGTTCCATTCAATGAGTAGCTATGTTACCAGGCATGTGATGCTCTACTCTCTGAGGCAAAGAAGGACAAAAATCACTGTAAAGAAATGTGCCTTAGAAGATGATTTAACTTTGGGTGGTGAGTACACAATGCAACATACAGATCATGTGTCATAGAAATGTACATTTGAAACCTATATGATCTTATTAACCAATGCCACCCCAGTAAATTTAATTTTAAAAAAAGAAAAAAAACAAAAAAGAAATGCCCCTCACTGGTAAAAATAACAAAGTCTAGAACCCCATACTTTTAGTGTGGGAAATTAATAGGAAATGGAGATATCCCATTAGGGAAGGACAACTGCCCAAGCAACCTTTGGGTGTGTGTCATTCCTGGAATTGTAATAGGCCCTTCAACAAGCACAGGGTGACTCAAAACATCCTTTGTTCAAACTCCAATAACTCTGTCTGGTCCCAGGGGCCAGAACAAATGCTTCAGCACATGACTGCTTTTCCCTTTCAAGTCTGGCTAGCCCAGAAGTATGCCTCCCCACTTCCTGCAGAACATTCCCTAGATTTCCCTGTCCCTTCCTTGGATCCATTAAGGACAGGTACTGACCACCTATCAGGAGAGAAAGGACATTGTAAATGTAATTCAAGGCAGAATATGGTAAGTCCACTCAATGGCAGTGATAAAATGTTATGAAAGAGAGAATTTTTTTTCCAACTGATGAAGGAAGGCTTCAATAAATGAGAGGCATTTGAACTGGATCTTAAAGAATGAGGAAGGTTTCCATAGGTAGAAATAGTAAATGAGAAAAAAAAAAGTACAACATGGACAATACAAAGCATACCTTGGGGGTAGAAAAACATACACTAGGATTTGAATCTAAATAGCTGAGTTTGGATATACCAGAGCCATTGCTGATAGGCTTATTTTTTGCCTATTAACTTTTTATTTTAAATTTAAACAATACATTGCCCACACCTTAACCATTGAATCCTTTGCTTTTCAGGCCAGAGAAGGGGAAGTAGCCATTATCGACAAAGTCCTAGACAATCCAGACTTGACATCTAAAGAATTCCAACAATGGAAGCAGATGTACCTTGATCTTTTCTTGGATATCTGTCAAACCACCACCTCAAATGACCCATTAAATATTTCTTCTGAGGTAGATGTAATCACTTCCTCTCTAACACATACCCATTCATACATTGAAACCCATGTGTAAGTGTATTCTGCCTTCAGGCCATCTGGTATCTTCTGGTACTTTGAACAAGTATATAAGGTAGTTTTTATATCAATGTGTGGGGCACTTGATAAGCTATACTTCAGTGTTACCAAACTATATGAAACAAACCATGTATGGTCATAATACTATTGTCTTTAATGAGCATTTGTATATTTTATATGCAATTAGTGCTCAGTTTATGTTTACCATGTGCAAAATCAACTGTCTTCAATGACTTAAAATTAACTTTTGCAGACTATTCTGAAGACAAGTGGTCTTCAAGTAGAAAAAACACAAAATGGCAGTTTTCTACCTACGGTCATCTTTTCTCCCTTTAAGTTAATTTTATATAAACAAGACTTCAAAAGTAAATCACAGTTTTTCAGGTGCAGATATCCTTGTGGGTGGGAAAGAATTTAAACCTTTTTTATATTTATTAAAATGTTCTAAGAATTTTCTTAAACATTGCACAAAGTTTAATGCTGTAGTTTTATTTTTGTGAAATGTAGATGCGCCTACAAGAGTTAAGCAAAATAGAAAAGCATCAACATAAGAGAAGTCAGGTATCTAATATTCGTCTTAATAGTCTATTAACTTGTGAAAGCTGGTTAATGGGAATACTATTCCAAATCTATGGGGACACTTAATGGTGTATCAGGGCAAAGCTTTGTAAGATGTTTTTGTAACTAAGACCAAAATTGAAGATAGAGCTGCTTTATTTTCTTGGTTTAAATCTTCCTTTATTTTTGTAGTGATGATATGCTGATTGTGTACAGAGGAATTTGAGAGTGAATTTTTTAAAACACACTTAACTCACCCAGAAAGGCAGCTAAAAGAATATATATATATATATATATATATATATATATATATATATATATAAATAAAGTTCAGCCCAAACTCATGTTTTTAAACTCCAACTCTTAGAAAAAGTACAAGGTATAAACTGGAATGAATCAACTTTCCAATTAGTTTCCAATTTTCCTGCTAGCCCATTAATTAAACTCATGTAATTATACTTCAGGCAGGGAAATAAAATATGTTTAGTTATAGGCTGATGTGTGTTATAATATAGAAAACAATGTTGAAACATAAAAATGTACCTCTCTCCTGAGGAGCAAGAGGATGATGGTCATTCATAGATCTTTTACATTGATTTGTATGAGAGAAACCATTTATAGAGGTTTTCCCTGACTTCATGAATTGTTCTATAGAGGGGTGAAGTCTATGGGAAAGTCCTCTTCATATATTTCCACTTATAAGCATCTCGTTTTTGAAAGTGATCACAGCATGATAATGACTGTGCTGCTTTTTAGTGTCTGGCTGCGTAATGTACAAGTCACAATTTGCTGTTTTTTTTTAGGAGGAGGAAGGGACCCTCCTTTACTATTCTATATCCTAAACTCTACTTCTAATCAGCTTTATACTGTTGCCTGTACAGCTCAGTGAATGTACTTTCATCTCTAAAAGTTCAGACACATGCCAGTGAATATTTTTGCTGTCGAGGAGAAAGTAAGAACTCCACAGCGGGGATCTTTTTCTTTCCTTTTGAAACCACCATTGAAACACTATCGTTTTGCAGACTTTGCACAACTGTACAGGAAAGTGGCCTTTCTACAGCACATTTTCAGTAATCCTATATTTACTCAAAATGGATGAGAAACACGTATTAATGTTTGTATGGAATTTTGGGTCCAGTGTAATATTTTTATCATTTAAAAAAACTATTTGTAAAAACATTTATTTACTGCATGGATATTGATGCACATTAAATTTGTGGGATTTTGTATATGTAAAAAAAAAACAACAAACAAAAGATCCTCTTGTCCTAAAATGAAGTGTGCTTGTTAAAGGTATTTAGACTTGTTGATGTTTACTAGACCAAATGTGTACATTCATTTAAAAATATCTGTACCTGATGGATGTGTCATGGATACAGTGGCCAGGTTTTGCCCTGTAAACAGCAAGCAGTTGATGGAAAGACTAACTGTGTTGCTACTAAGCAGCTTTTCCTTTTGTAAAGTCTGCTCTGTTGTTTTAAAGGGTAAAAATTAAACTAATGAATTTTAAAAGACTTGTGGCTAGCCTAGCATGAAAGAGACCTTTTAACACTATATATCTGTACATTTTATTGCATTAGTTTCAAATCTAGGAGAGGGGCAACACTGTAAACTGAAGTCAAATAAATTCAGCTCTTAACGAATTCTTATAAAGCACCTACTTTATTCATGCAGAGTCCTTGCCACATGTCTTTGTGATGCAGTCACACAGCCACCATCCCTCCTTACAGGTTCTAACTTTGCTACTCCATTAGTGGTACAACCCAGAAGAAGCACCTGTTCAGTGTACAAGCATCTTCTCTGAGTCCCTGTAGAATCAAGCTGGTTTCCCATTTCCCTTGCGAACTTGAACATTTCACTTACTCCTCTTTCCTTTCTGTGTGACTCTTTGGGAAAGTTGGGGGAGACAGGAGCCACCAAAAATAAGTCTGTATTTCTTTTAATGTAACCTACAGCATGTCTGCAGAATGAATATTTAATGAGGATAAAAGAAATAGGATTTTGTTTTTGTTAGATATTCCACTTAACCAACAAGACTGATTATTATGGCTAAGTTGCTGAAATATAACTTAAAAGCAGTGTGCTGCCTAAAGTCAGGGAAAATGCAGACAAGGGGTAAGTAAGGATGAGAGACAGAAAAACTTAGCCCAGGTTATTTTTATTAAAAAATTAAAGGTGTTTCTTAGAGATCTTTTCCCCTTTCATGCTCCAAATTTATATTAAACCAGAATAGAACCATGATTCTGGACCATAAAGTCATACTTCTCCTTACAATGATTTCATGCTATTTAACCAAGGCACTTTTCCTTCACTATTTATTCAGATAATGCTGTCTTCTAGGACTATTTATTACAGCCTTTATAGCTAATAATTTTCTGGGTCTTGTGTATAACTTCTTATAGTGTATTTTTTGGCCATTTGTTTGGCACAAATGTAATCACTGTTTAGCACCTAGGGAAACACTTTAACAATGTGAAGGAAAATAAGGTCATATTTTATTTTTGGAAGTCCATCTCTAGCCCAGCAATGAGAATTTCTACAACTCCCCAGCTCACTGAAGCTGATTCATGTATCCTTCTATTTGACCCCTGCTGTCTTCCTTTCTCAGCTTAAAGGGAAAAGTGCCTGTTTGACCCTCATTGCCTCGTTAACCTTCAGAAGCCACTCAGTTCCCAGTCTTGTTCTTAGGAAAAGCCCACAGTTGCTCCGAGACTGCTCTAACCCATTAAGCCCAACACTAAATCTGGAGCCTCTCTGCTCTCTCCCGCCCTCTCCTCGTCCCCACCCTCAGCCAGCTGCAGCACTGCGCACTGCAGGCCACTCCAGGCCCAGGGCAGCGCACAGCTGATGTCCTCCCAGCGGTCCAGGTCGAGGTCATAGCCTACCACATTGCGGGTAGGCACCTGGCGCGAGTCCCGCCACTTGACGCCCCCCAGCAGCAGCGCTGTCTCCTCCACCACTGCCAGCCCATAGCAGAAGCGGTCGTAGGGCAGCGGCCGCAGCCGAGTCCATTGGTCAGTACCGGGGTCGTAGCGTTCAATCTCAGAGAAGGGCTCATAGCGTCCCAGAAAGGCAAACACCGCGCCGCGAAGTGCAGCCATGTGGTGCCCAAAGCGGGCGGTGCCCATTGGCGCTCTTTTGCTCCAGGACCGCTCCCCGGGGCCCAGGGAGTACAACTCCTTGAGGCTGCTCGCTCCGCCCTCGCCTCTCCCTGACTTGCCCCCGGAGATGTACACCACACCGCGGTCCCCGACAGCCCCTGCGTGACCGTGCAGGGCCCGTGGCAGCACCCCAGCCTCAGTCCAGCGGTCCCGGCGCAAGTCGTACATCTCCACCGAGGCCAGAGCCTCGCCGCCCGGGCCCAGGCCCCCGACGGCCAGCAGCCCCTCACCCACAGCGCCACACCAAAAGTGGGCCCGCGCTTCCCGCATAGCGGGCACCGTCGTCCAAGTGTGGAAGCGTGGGTCGTAACGGTGTACTTGACCGGTGACTGCCCGCGGGCCATCGGACTGGGGAGACGAGGCGCCTTGGGAAGGGCTCTCCCCGCCCAGGACGAACAGGAAGTTGCCCGCAACGCACACACTGTGCCCCAGTAGTGGTTCGGGGAGCCTCGTGAGGCTTCGCCAGCGATGATTGTACACATCGAAAGCCACCACGTCCTGGGTGAGCTCCCACTCCACGTCCTCCTCCTCCTCCTCTTCCTCCTCCTGCAACTGCTCCTCTTCCTCCTCCTCTGGCACCACTATGGCGCCCCTGCCCCTGGCTGCTCCCTGGGGGACTGCAGCCTCTTCTGTCACTGCCTCCCGGGCTCTGCGTCCCCCGACCAATAAGATGCGGGTTTGCGGGCTCCTGACACTGGTCTGCTCGCCCTGCACAAGCGGCTGGCGGGAGGGCGCCGTGTGGTAGTTGAGGGCCTGGATGATGAGGCCTTTGACACGAGCAGGCAGCTCGAGGCCGGAGCCCGAGTACACGCGCCGCAGCACTTCGGCAGGCACCAGGCCGAAGCGGACGCGCTCCAGCAGCGCAGTGCAGTGGGCCAGGCGTTCGGCCTTGGGTTCCTGTCGCAGCCAGGCCAGCGCCAGGCCCAGCAGCTGGGCCTCTGGTACCCGCGCTAAGTCGGGAGCACCCAGCACGGCCCTCAGTGAGGCAGGGTTAAGCTCCAGCAGTCCCACGGGGTCCGCACCCCGAGCCAACAGCTCCTGCAGGTGACGCACGATATAGCGCTCAGCTGCGTCTAGTGTATGCGCCAGACCGAAACGCATCGCCACGTTGGCGGCGAAGCAACAGTTCTCAGGGTCCAGCAAGCGTTGCAGGTAGCTGCCGCACAATCCCAGGGCCTCGGTGACCTGCAGGTAGCTGGCGGCCTCCAGTGTATCTTCTACAGTGTCCATAGAGAGCGGCAACCAGGCGGTGTAGATAAAGTCCAGCAGACGCTGCAGGCCAGCCGCCGATGGCACGTGCAGGTGGATCACGTGTGCCCGGGATTCCTGGGTGTGGCTCTTGAACAGGGCCCTGAAATAGTCGCTGGAACAAGCCAAGAGAGACCTGTGCGCCGGGAACTTGGTGCCCTCGGCCTCCAAAGTGACGTCGCACAGGAAGCCCTCAGCGCGCAGGGCCTGGTAGCCGGTGAGCAGAGCGCCGCCATGAGCTTTGCAGTAAGACAGGAAGTAACTCATGATGCCCAGGGCTAGAAGGGGCCTGGCAGGGGATGGGGCCAGCCAGGCGCCTCAGGAGGCATCTTCAGGCAGTATGCACGAGACTCAGGGGCCCAAGCAGAGGCCCATTTTTTCCCCCTGCTCAGCTTAAATTGGAGGGCTCCTTCATCCAGGTGCACAGGTCCGAGTGTTCCTTTCAGAGCCAATTCGTTCGGGGAACGGCTTCCAGAAGCCCCTGGTAGTGGAGGGCGCGGTGTTTGGAGTCTTCCGAGGGGGTGCAAGGTTTGGTTTCTGCGGCTGCGGAGGTTGCCAGCACCTTGCTCAAAGCCCCCTCGCCGTCCCAGTTTGGGGAGCCCACACCTGTGCGCCAGAGGCTGCAGAGGCCTCGTACCATCACCTGGAAGGGCCAACTTGCGTGTAGACCGACTCCCGGGGGTGCTGGATCTCCGACGGCGGAGACGCGCAGATGTAGCCTGCCTGGGGGCGTCCCGGGAGTATGAAACGAGGGCTCTGACCTCCGGAGGGTGGACAAGGATGACGGATTCTGCGGGCACCCGCGAGGGCCTGAGACAACTGGCTACGGGGCTGGTGGTGGTGAGCTTATTCTGCGCGGAGGATCAAATCAAAGCCTGGGGGATTAGGGCGGGGGGGGTGCGGGTCAACGCGGCCGGTCGGAGGCATGATTGGGTGCTGCACATAACAAGCGAGTAGCTCACAGCGACAGGAATAGCGCGCAGCCTCTGCCTCCCCTGTGCGCCCCGCCCCTCAACCCGGCCACTAGCCCCGAACTGAGGGCTGGGACACAGGAGGAAAGTGGCCGAGCCTGGAACCTGACTCCGTTGACCCGGAGAGACTCTGATCACCAGGAGGTCCAGGGACCCGGCTGAGGTTAGGGAGAGGTGCTCAAGTCTCCCAGGACCCTGTGTCTAATAGTGCCTGGCGAGGGGCGTCTGACTGAGCTGGAGGAGTGTCGACCACCCGGTATTCCAGGAAAGAAGCCTCCGGCGCCCAACTTTCTGTTTTAAGGAGGCCCTAATTAATCCAGCGGGAGCGGGGATTAAGCTGCGATTTTTCTCGCTGACACCCAAGAGGCTGCTGTGTGCAGAGGAGCCACTGGCAGGAACAGTGCCCAGGCGAATCCGGGCTTCCAGCCAGCGGCGCTAGGTAAACACGCCCCTCACCTGGACTCGCCTTGAGGAATGCTCATTTACTGTAGGCCTTTCCCCTTTGCCTCAGATTCTGCATTTGGGAATTTGCCCCCATTTCTGTTCCCCAACTTCAGCTGAGTTCTCCCTTCCTGTTCTTGGACCCAGACCAGCCCATCCCTTGGCAGAGTGGACAAGGAAATTCTAGGTGACGAGTTTTCTGCCTTTGATTAACCACTTGCTTTAAGAAAATAATTTGTTCCAGTTTCTCTCCCTGATTTTCCAGGTTCTGATCTAATGACTTAGCCTGCTACACCTCCAATGCCATAACGAGATCATGGGCAGTAAGGTTGCAAAGCTCTATACAGGCTGGAGATTTGTAGGGCCCCTCCTCATAAACATATTTTTGTAAGATGCACCCAGCAAAGAAACAATGACTAAAACCACCCCAATCTTGAGACATTAGAAAAACATTTATCCATCTCCTTCATTCTGCTCTTAAATAACTAAATGATCACTATAACTTCTCTTGCCAATTTGGAGCCTACTCTGTGTTTTGCTTTCATTTAGGATGAATTTTTCTATTTTGTCATGCAAGCCCTCTGGCAGTTGGTTTTAAGCGAACCTTTTGAGGGTGCCTGAAATAACTTGCATTTCTAACAGTTGGGGTTATATTTCATAGAAAAAAAAGCCCAAGGAAGGATAAAATTCTATCATTTCTGCCTGAGATGTCATCAGTACTCACAAGGTCTCCAGTTAGAGGTAATTCTGGAAGTGCATAAAAATATTAGTAAAATGATTTTGCCTTCTTGTCAAAGATGAAACTACTTTATGACAAATTAACCAAATTATAAAATGCAGGCAGGGGCTCAGGTTAAGGGCTTGCTTTAAACTCCAGGGGCTAAATATACTACAATTTGAATTCCTAATGTTAGAGCTACAGATGGGTTCATGGTTGATTTTTTTTTAAGTGCTAACATTCGTAGTTCAAAAATAAAATACCAGTCTGGTTCACTGTGCATAGATATGTATGGTGAAATTAAATGGCGTTTACTCAACCCAAAAGAATTTTGCTATAAGGGATAGTTGAGATCATTTAGCTAAATCCTCTCCCTTTACTCTGCTATTTCTTTTGTTTGTTTGTTTAAAACAAATGTGACAGATGAGCCCCAGAGAGAATACAGTTTGGGTGACTTGAATGTTGAGTTACAGAGTCTGGACTGGTATCCAGGGCCTCCCCCACCCCACTACATTATGTGATTTCATGTATGATAAAAATAGTATAACACAATTTACTAATCAAATTTCAAAGTGATAAAGTTTAAATACAGCTATTTTTTTACTTTATTATTTTTTTAGAAAGAGGGGAAGGGAGGGAGAAAGAGGAGAGAAACATCAATGTGTGGTTGTCTCTCATGTGGCCCCCACTGAGGACCTGGCCTGCAACCCAGGCATGTGCCCTGACTGGGAATCGAACCAGCAACCCTTTGGTTCACAGCCCACGCTCAATCCACTGAGCTACACCAGCCAGGTAAATACATCTATTTAAACAGCATATTTTTAACTGAAAAATTAAATCAGACCTGTCCATCACCATGCATTCAGGTTGAATCCAAAATGTCACATTTGAGAATAAAGATGCTGGGGAGGACTTTAAACTTTGACATCAAGAATCCAATTTTATATAACAAGTATATGTTCATTGCTGGCCCAATATGGCACCGTAATGTTTTGCCATTGAGGATATGAACAACTGTGTTAACTGAAGAAATTTGCATATTGGATGTGTTTACAAGGTCTTGTTTAGAAAATATAACTGTCAGTTCAACCAAGAACATTCTTGTCCTTTGAGTAATGTTTATGGAAATTATCGATACTTTAATTTCTATGCAATATTAAGTATGTTGAATACCATTTCAGTCTCTCCCTTTTTTAGTTGTTGTGGTAAGTGTGTGTCTTAAGTTGGGTCCCCTAGAAGGCAGGCCCTACAATCCAACTTAAATGCAAGGTGATGTATAGATGTGACAAAATTTGATTATTACGTTGAAAATTATCTTTGCCCTGACCAGTGTAGCTTAGTTGGGCTTTGTCCCACAGAAAGAAAGGTCCTGGTTCAATTTCCAGTCACATACCTACATTTCTGGTTCCATCCCTGGTTGGGGCACATGAGAGAGGCAACCAATCAATGTTTCTCACATTGATATTTATCACTCTTTCTCCCTCCCTTCCCCTCTCACTAAAAATTAATAAATTTTTTAAAAGAAAATGATCTTTAAGAGTTCCCCTCCCCCTTTAGACTACCATCCTCTTTTTCTTGGTCTTTGTATCTCTAGCCCCTCTCATGGTCTTGGGTTCAAGTAATGTTGAGTTAAACAGACATAGGGAATGAAAACTTCAGTAGGAGGAGTGAAGAGTCAAGAGGAACTTGACTGGGACAATTAAGTCCTTCTCTCTGGTTCTCTTTCTTCCCATCACACAGCAGGGGTTGAAGACACATCCTGGTAAAGCCCCTGAATTAGCATCCCTAGAAATCAAGTGGGTGGCTGTGGGTGGCCCTTAACTGGGGAGTCTAGGTAGAATCAACTCTTCTGAAAAGGCCAGACCACCTCCTCCAGCCACCATTGCAACTTGGTGCTGCCCTGCAGCCCTAGTCCTTTACCTAGACCAGCTCCACATGGCTCTCAGCACCCAGTCAAACACAGGGCCCCGGGTGCCCCAGCAGCCCCTCCATGCCTCAGTTTGTATGGCTGGGCTTCTGCTGAAGGCCCAGCTTCACATTCTAGCATGGCTTTTGGGACCCCACAGTTTATCCTGAACCCCCCACCCCTTCTCAGGACTGTGACCTGCTGTCAATGATCCCTTACATATATCTGTACCTCCTGTGACAGAACGTAGAACTAAAATCCTCCAAGCACCCACCTCACCCCCACATAAGAGAAGAACTTGTAGGTTGCCATGGCACTCCACTTTCCCTGAATTGGCCCTACCTAGCTAACCCTAAATTCCATAGTTCACAGCTCTAAAATAATTGTATGACTTGAAAAAATCCAAAAATACAAATGTACATGTATAATGGGCACTTAAAATATTTTTTGCAAATGCGATTTTTTGGTAATAGCTTTATTGAGATATAATCCACATACCATACAATTCACCCATTTGAAGTATACTGTTTAGTAGTTCTTAGTAGATTTACAGTGTTGTACAGCCATCACCAGAGCCTAACTCTGGAATATTTTCATCACTTCAAAAAGAGACCCCATACCCTTTAACTATCATTACCAGTCCCCCAAGCCCTAAACAACATGAATCTACTTTTTATTTTTAAAGATTCTAAATACTTCATATAAATGGAATCATACAATAAATACATGGTCTTTTGTGACTGACTTTGACTTACAATACTGTTTTCAAGCTTCACCCATGTCATAATACACTTTTGAGGAACAAAAGTATATGTATATAACAATAGCATTGGGGATTTTTTCTCAAAACCATAAAACTCTAAAATGCCTGTTTTAGCTATTTAGGGTACAGTTTTTGGCAGGTCAACTCTTTGTCATCTCTCATTACTGGCTCCTTTATGCTTCTTTCCAACACATGGCGCTGGTGACCTTCATGTAGAGCCTTTTATTAGAAATTGACACATTAAGTAAGCTAATTGTGAAGATATTATTACAAACAATAACAGACATGTGGTAGAGAACAAATCCCATGTTATTTTCACCCTCTTCCAAGACCTTTTTTCATGTATGTGAAATGTATTTTTTCTTTGTGATACACAGTTCAAGCAAAAGGGTTTCAAGGGGTGAGAGAGTTTTAATCATGAATGATTTTGATATTTTGGCCCAGCTGACAGCCTAAGGAGCAGAGTGGTAGGTGAC